GCAGCCTTTTGAGCAGCCTTGGTGACCTTTCCGGCACCAGCAGCAGTCTTGTCAACAGACTTGATGACACCGACGGCAACGGTTTGTCTCATATCTCTGACGGCAAATCTTCCCAATGGTGGGTACTCAGTGAAGGTCTCAACACACATTGGCTTGGATGGGATCATCTTAACAATGGCAGCGTCACCAGACTTGACGAACTTAGGGTTCTCCTCCATCTTCTTACCGGTTCTTCTGTCGATCTTCTCGAGCAGTTGGTCGAATCTGCAGGCAATGTGGGCAGTGTGGCAGTCCAAAACTGGAGAGTAACCAGCAGAGATCTGACCTGGGTGGTTCAAGATAATGACTTGAGCGTTGAAAGAAGCACATCCTTGAGGTGGGTCGTTCTTGGAGTCACCACAGACGTTACCTCTTCTGATTTCCTTGACGGAAACGTTCTTGACGTTGAAACCAACATTGTCACCTGGAAGACCCTCAGCAAGCTGCTCGTGGTGCATCTCGACGGACTTGACTTCGGTGGTAACACCAGCTGGGGCGAAGGTAACAACCATACCAGCCTTGATGACACCAGTCTCAACTCTACCGACTGGAACAGTACCAATACCACCAATCTTGTAGACATCTTGCAATGGCAATCTCAATGGCTTGTCAGATGGTCTGGCAGGTGGCTCAATGGCGTCAATGGCCTCAAGAAGAGTCTTACCCTTGACGACACCGGACTTGGTCTCCTTTTGCCATCCCTTGTACCATGGGCAGTTGGAAGAAGGCTCAATCATGTTGTCACCGTTCCAACCAGAGATTGGGACGAATGGAACAGTCTTAGGGTTGTAACCAACCTTCTTGATGAAGTTGGAGGTTTCCTTGACAATTTCCTCGAATCTGGCCTCAGACCATTGGACAGAGTCCATCTTGTTGACAGCAACAATCAGTTGTCTAACACCAAGAGTGAAAGCCAACAGAGCGTGCTCTCTGGTTTGACCGTCCTTGGAGATACCAGCCTCGAACTCACCGGTACCACCAGCAATGATCAAAATAGCACAGTCAGCTTGGGAAGTACCAGTGATCATGTTCTTGATGAAATCTCTGTGACCTGGAGCATCAATAACGGTGACGTGGTACTTTGGAGTCTCGAACTTCCACAAAGCGATATCGATGGTGATACCTCTTTCTCTCTCAGCCTTCAACTTGTCCAAAACCCAAGCGTACTTGAAGGAACCCTTACCAAGCTCGGCAGCTTCCTTTTCAAACTTCTCGATGGTTCTCTTGTCGATACCACCACACTTGTAGATCAAGTGGCCGGTAGTGGTAGATTTACCAGAGTCGACGTG